TTTGGAAGGTTTTGAGCCAGAGGAATTAGAGGATACGATTGAGGTTTTAACAGGCTGTCTTGGCTCCTGAGTTAAGATAGGTCAGAGAGGCATAAGGATGGAAGCTAGAAAGCTGTTGCAATAATTTAAGGAGTTCTTGAAGCTGGAGAAGTGGAGATAGTGAGATATGGTCAAAATCTGGATATATTTTGAAGGTCGAGCCAACAAGATTTCCTGACTGTCAGATGTGGGGCTTGAGAGTAAGAAAGGAGTCAAGTAAAACTCCCGAGGCTTTTACCTGAAAGGCTGGAGATGCTATCACCTGAAATAGGGAAAACTCATAGCCAGTTGTAAAAATTGGGGTGGGGGGAGGGGGTCAAGGGGAGAGTGGATATCAGGAGCTCAGCCTGGGTCATGTTAAGTTTGAGATCTCTATTTAGACATCAAATGGAAATGTCAAATTTGAAATTAGATACATGAATCTGGAGTTAGGGGAAAGGTTGGGGCTGGAGATTGAAATTCAAGAGCCTTGAGTTAGACATGAAGAAGCAAAAGGTGGTGAGGAGTGACCACAAAGATCAGAGGAAAACCAGGAGAGTGTGGTATCCTTGTCCTGGAAGCCAAGTGAAGGAAGTGTTTCAAGAAGAGTAGGAACCTGAGTATGAGGGTACCAATCCCCGAGAGAAAGTATGTACTGACAGAATTTATTCTTCCCATTGTTGTGCTTGGATTGTCTGGAATACACAGCTGTTTTGAGGTTTCAAATTGTCCTCTGAAGCAAAGCAGTGCTGCTGTGGGAGTAGATTTTGTCTCAACATTGCACTTTTCCTGAGACCTGGGTGAACTTGACTGCTGCCTCATACCTAAGTCACTTCTCCTTTACGTTCCAGTGTTGATCCCCTTGAAGAAGGGAGAATACTCAGCACTCTGAAACTTAATGTTTAATGAGATTATATCTGTAAGACCCTTGATAAATATGAAACTAACCACCGAGAGAAACACAAAGCACTATTTATTACTGCTATTTTTAGCATTATTGTTATTATTATCTTCAAACAAGCTAAGCCTTTCCTTATTTTGTGAACACTTACTTACTCAAAATAGGAAGCTTTCTAAAATGAAAACCAATTTTTCTCTTTCTCTTCAGCCTACTTGCTGCCCTCAAGCTAGCTCCTAATGGAGAAACTAGGTCTGTTAAGTGTTATTTTCCACTTTTTCTTTCCTGTCCTTGTATTCTCCCAGCTGTCTCAACTCGGAACCTTGTAGGGAGAGAGTTACTTCAGAAAAATGTGTTTGCTTTGACATTTAAACAAGCCTCCATTATGTTTTTCCATACAGAATTTTTCCTCTTCCCCTGTCCCACTTCCAGCATTCTGTCTGACCTGTCTTCTTTTCAGCCTATTCATTATTCCTAAGGTTTGCAGATTATACCAGAGGAAGAAGACAGATTTATAAATATGTGTTCCTGCCCTGCTGTTTCAAGAGAAGGACTAACATTCATTCATCTTCCAATTGTATGCCTGCTCTCTATATACTGCTTTGCTCATCTACCCTTATTAATGAGGTGCCTATCTCTAAGTCTTACCTTGTCTAGAAGTAAATGGACTCTGCTTCTGTTCAAATTGATTATGCAGTAATCAGAGCAGCCCATCACTGGGTGGAGACATCCATTTGAATTCACTTTGCTAATAGCCAGAGAAAATTTAGCCTAATTGCTTTCTTAGGAGGTTTTCCATTTCCCTTAAGTTGCCAGGAACCTAGAAAGGGATAAGAATCCTTTTTCCCTCTTGGATGCCCGCCCTGCCCCCACAATCTTGTATGTGTTTGGGGGTTTGTTTGTTTTTTAAATCTAAGATGAAGATAAAGGGACATCTTAAGGAAATTGTGTAAAAAGAATCAGAATCCACTAGAGATAGCTGTATGATGTCTTTGAAGATCTGACCACTAATAAATGAGACCTTTGGTAAAGTACTTAACTTCTGGGCTTTCATTTCCATCTTTGCAAAGTAGCTTTCACAACCCCTGTAAGACAGGATTGTTGGAGGACTATGCTTTTTCTTTGTGGCCTGACTTGTTCAAAAAGTGATTTAAGGCTGTGAATATTCAATAAGATAATGAAAACACCTAGCACATAATAGATGTTCAGTAAATGTTTGAATTAGAATCCAGTTGCCTGAACCAAAATTCTTTCCTGCCCTAATTTCATTAGGTTGAGACTTTCTGGTAGGATAATCCCTTTTTATGATAGAACATCCTAAAATCTGACTCCAAAGAGAACAAAGGCTAAATAAGGTCTTATTTAAAGGAACGCCCAAGAGTTCAGGGTTCAAGTCCTGATACTCCGTGGTTTTGTCTAAGCACTTTGTATTGATGTACTGAAAGCCAAAACCTACTGTGGGCAAGTTATCTAATGTAATAATCTTATCATTTATTTCTGTTTTAGTCCTGTAGTAGTGATTAAAAATCTGAGATTCATAGAGGTTAAGTGACTTGGCCAAGATTACACTGTAACAGAGCAAGGATTTGGACTAAGGTTTTCTAACTCCCAAGTCCAGTGATCTTTAGACAACGTTCTATGTAAAAGTAAACGAATGTAGGTGAGTTACTTCAGATAGGCCCTGGGAGTGGAGTGCTGAATCAAACAGTATTTTATTAATGTATGACCAAGACAAACAAAAGGCTAATTCTAGATTCCCCAGGCTTATTCTCTAGATACATTACATAGAAAATGCGCCTTGGATGTCTGAGCGATTGAGGGGGGGAAAAAAGAAAGGAAAGAAAATGTGCCTTGGGACTTCCAATCAAGGATTTACTGTGTTCAAACTTTTGACACATTCCCTCTTCCAAACACATAGCAAGAAGTAAAGTATATAAAGTGAAAATCAAAGAACATATTTGGGCTCAAAAACAAAAGAACCATCTCCGTGGACCAATAATAAAAAAGATGCAAGTCACTAAGGCTGAAGCTGTGAGCCTGCTGGCCACCAGCTCCGGGAACAGAATGGTGCCTGAGAAATGAGCTATGAGCTCCTGAGCAGTAGCTAGAAATACCCCTAAAGAGACAGAACTGAGGCCAGGAGAGCGAGATGCCAACCCCCAGCCAGCCTCAGAATTAGAGCTTTCAAAAGTTAATTGAGTGGGGGAGGAGGGAAGCCTATGGAGTTGTGAAGAAGTGTGTCACACTGCCTGCTGATTCAATGATGAGAACTATGATATCCTAAATTTCTTCTAATGGCACAGACCATTAGAAGACCTGTTCAGACTAGGTCCTTAGGGTACTAGAAGGAAGAAATTGTAAAACTATGAAACAGAAGGGGGAAAATTAGTAACAAAAGTATCCCACTAAAAAAAAAAGCCTGCAAATCAAAATTTTATACAATAGAAATCTAATGCTAAAAAAGATAACCAATAAAATTAACCAGGACTTCTACTTTGGGGAAAATGAAATGGACATACTTTTCCCTATTTCTCCCACCAAGTACAACTAAAAACCCTGTCTGTTAGATATAAAACAAATATAATAAGACTGTAAAAGGTGGAAAACAGAAGGCAGACTAGATAAGGACCTCAAGACAAGACCCGAGGAATGACATGGTGGTGAGTTTCTTGGGTTTTATTTTTGCCTCATATATCTCTGACATGGAGTTGAACCTTATACTTAATGATGAAAGACTGAATGTTTCCCCACTAAGAGCAGGAACAAGGATGTATGCTTTCAATACTCTTATTCAACATAGTGCTGGAAATTCTAGCTAGTGCAATAAGGCAAGAAAAGGATATAAAAGGCACACAGATCAGAAAGGAAGACATACAACTGTATTTACTTGCACATTACATGATTGTCTACGTAGAAAATCCCAATGAATATGCAAAAAAAAAAACAACCCTAGAATTAATAAGTGAGTTCAGCTAGGTCATAGAAGACAAGATAAACATACAAAAATCAATTGTGTGTCTGCAGTATACTAGCTATGAACACATGGACACTGAAATTAAAAATACAATACTATTTACAATAGCTAAAAAAATGAAATACTTAGGTGTAAATTTAGCAAAACATTTGCAAGATTTGTATGCTGGAACTACACAATGCTGATGAAAGAAATCAAAGATCTAAACAAATGGGGAACACATAGTAAAGATGTCAGTGTTTCCCAAATTGATACATAGGTTCAATACCATTCCTGTCAAAATTCCAACAAGATGTTTTGTAGATACAGATATGATCATTCTAAAATTTATGAAAGGCCAAAGGAACTAAAACAGTTTTGAAAAAGAAGAAAGTGGGAGGAATCAGGCTACCTGATTTCAAGACTTATTAATAGCCACGGTAATCAATTAGTCTGTGATGTTGGCAGAGCGATAGACACCAAGACCCATGGAACAGAGCTGAGAACCCAGAAATAGACATACAAATGCACCCAACTGATTTTGACAAAGGTGTGCAAAAGCAATTCTTGGGATGAAAGATACAGCCTTTTCAATGAATGGTATTGAAACAACTGGTCATCATAGGCTCAGAAAAGAATTTCATACAAAAATTGACTCAAAATGGACCAAAGAGAAATAGAAAACTGTAAAACTTTTAGGAAAAAAAATCTAGAAGAAAATCTTCAGTGGGCAAAGAATTCTTAGACTTGACACCAAACACATGATCCATAAACGGCACAGATCTTATAAGTCATTGAGCTGGGTGGTGGGTACATGGGTTTTTGTTAGGTTTTTCTTTGTATTTTTTCAGCACGTTTGAAATATTTTTTTTTATGAAAATGTGCCTTAACTGGCCCATGAAACCTTTTCAACTGTTGCCTATCCTAAGGCTCCCCAATAGTGTTGTAGGCAGTTCCCATAGAACTGTTAGTTCCAATAGAACTATTAGCCCAATTCTGTTTGTCTCATTAGGACCCAGAGCACTCCCTAAATTCTCCTACAGGAGCCGGAATGCTACTCAAATGGAAAATATATTTCTCAGTGGCCAAAAGGGTTTCTCTCGTCTATATCTGAGTCTTCTTGTCTTCCAGGAATGTTGGTGGTGAATGTAACATGGAGGAACAAGACATATGTAGGTACACTTCTTGACTGCACACGGCATGATTGGGCGCCGCCCAGGTAAGCACTCTACAGCGATTTAGTTTATGTTAGTCTGAACCACCCTAATCAGTGATTTCTTTTACCTTCATCCAGCTAGAGTTGGATAGCTTCTAAAAGACACCCAGCTTTTAAAGGACATTATGGTATAGAGACAAGAAAAGGTACTACGTTCATCTGGCATTCAGGAAGAATAAATGAATTAGGTGTTAATGGGTTGGGTAAGAATGGGGAGAAGATCCTATGTAAGGCTTTGTCTGGAATTTCTCAATTCTGACTGCTACCTGTAGTCACCTTGAGACTAAGGCCATAGAGTCTCACTATAGGTGAACACACAGTCGTTGATGATACTTTTTTAATGGTAGCTATCTCTTTGAAGTTTAAATTCAAGAACATTTCAGTTTTATAAACTTCACTAGACAATGTGGATTTCACAAGGGCCTTTTCAAATTGCAGTTTGATCTTAAGATTGACATTTCAGTGAATGGTACCTTACAGCTTATTCGTAATATTAGTTTCCAGTTTGCCAGGGTTTGAGGAACCCAAATGTTGGGGAATAATCTACAGCTAGTATTCAGATAGCATCCTAGAAGCTCACCACTTAATGCAGTTCCCACGCTTTCAAAAGTTTCTTTAACAAATCATATTCATTGAAAAGGATAGTTACCATCTGGACAGTTCTTCTGGAGACTGAAGCTAAACTGGTTTGAAGATGTTTTCACTTTTTAATAATATCCTGTTGTGTTTGTTCGTTGCCAAGGTTCTGTGACTCCCCAACCAGTGACTTGGAAATGCGAAACGGCCGGGGGAGAGGCAAACGTGTGCGTCCCAACAGTAACACACCTGTCAGTGAGACAGCCACAGCCTCTGACAGCAAAGGGACCAGCAGCAGCAGCAAAACCCGAGCAGGAGCCAATAGCAAAGGCCGTCGGGGCAGCCAGAATTCTTCAGAGCATCGCCCACCTGCCAGTAGCACCTCTGAGGATGTCAAGGCCAGCCCCTCCTCAGCAAATAAGCGGAAAAACAAACCCCTTTCAGACATGGAGCTGAATTCTAGCTCAGAGGACTCCAAAGGGAGCAAGCGTGTCCGTACGAATTCCATGGGCTCAGCAACTGGCCCCCTCCCTGGGACAAAGGTGGAACCCACTGTTCTAGACAGAAATTGTCCCTCCCCGGTCTTGATTGACTGTCCCCACCCAAACTGCAACAAAAAATACAAGCACATTAATGGACTTAAGTACCACCAAGCTCATGCCCATACAGATGATGACAGCAAACCAGAAGCAGATGGAGACAGTGAGTACGGAGAGGAGCCCAGCCTCCATGCGGACCTCGGGAGCTGCAATGGTGCATCTGTCTCACAAAAAGGTTCCTTGTCCCCTGCCCGCTCAGCTACCCCCAAAGTTCGGCTCGTAGAGCCCCACAGCCCTTCTCCTTCAAGCAAATTCAGCACAAAAGGCCTCTGTAAGAAAAAGTTGAGTGGAGAAGGGGACACAGACCTTGGAGCCTTATCCAACGATGGCTCTGATGATGGACCCTCAGTAATGGATGAAACAAGCAATGATGCCTTTGATTCTTTGGAAAGGAAGTGTATGGAAAAAGAAAAATGTAAAAAATCCTCTAGTTTGAAACCTGAAAAGATTTCTTCCAAGAGCTTAAAGTCAGCCCGACCCATTGCCCCTGCCATCCCCCCACAGCAAATCTACACCTTCCAGACAGCCACCTTCACAGCAGCCAGCCCAGGCTCCTCCTCAGGCCTGACCACCACAGTGGTTCAAGCCATGCCCAACAGCCCCCAACTCAAGCCCATTCAGCCCAAGCCCACCGTGATGGGAGAACCTTTCACAGTCAACCCTGCCTTGACTCCAGCCAAGGACAAGAAAAAGAAAGACAAAAAAAAGAAGGAGTCTTCAAAGGAACTTGAAAGTCCTCTGACCCCTGGGAAGGTGTGTCGAGCAGAAGAAGGCAAAAGCCCATTCAGGGAATCATCCGGAGATGGGATGAAGATGGAGGGGCTCCTAAATGGCTCATCAGACCCCCACCAAAGCCGACTGGCTAGCATCAAGGCTGAAGCCGACAAGATCTACAGCTTCACGGACAATGCCCCCAGCCCTTCCATTGGAGGCAGTAGCCGCCTCGACAGCACTACCCCTACCCAGCCCATGACTCCCTTACATGTAGTGACCCAGAATGGAGCTGAAGCCAGCTCGGTCAAAACCAGCAGCCCCGCCTACTCCGACATCTCCGATGCTGGGGAGGACGGGGAAGGCAAAGTGGACAGTGTCAAATCCAAGGACCCCGAACAGCTGGTTAAGGAAGGTGCTAAGAAAACTCTCTTCCCCCCTCAACCACAGAGCAAAGACTCACCGTATTACCAAGGCTTTGAGAGTTACTACTCGCCGAGTTACGCCCAGTCCAGCCCAGGGGCTCTGAACCCCAGCAGCCAGGCAGGAGTGGAGAGCCAGGCCCTGAAGACAAAAAAGGATGAAGAGCCTGAGAGCATAGAGGGGAAAGTGAAGAACGATGTCTGTGAGGAGAAGAAGCCAGAGCTGAGCAACTCCAGCCAGCAGCCCTCAGTCATCCAGCAGCGTCCCAACATGTACATGCAGTCCCTTTACTACAACCAGTACGCCTATGTGCCCCCCTATGGCTATAGCGACCAGAGTTACCACACCCATCTCCTGAGCACTAACACAGCTTACCGGCAGCAGTATGAGGAGCAGCAGAAGCGGCAGAGCTTGGAGCAGCAGCAGCGGGGACTGGACAAGAAGGCGGAGTTGGGCATGAAGGAGCGGGAGGCTGCTCTCAAGGAGGAATGGAAGCAGAAGCCGTCGATTCCCCCAACTCTCACCAAGGCCCCCAGCCTGACAGACCTGGTGAAGTCAGGACCCGGCAAGGCCAAGGAGCCAGGGGCTGACCCTGCCAAATCAGTCATCATTCCCAAGTTAGATGACTCTTCCAAACTCCCCAGCCAGGCCCCAGAAGCACTGAAAGTGAAGCTGAGTGAGGCCAGCCACCTGGGCAAGGAGGCTTCGGAAGCTAAGACAGGTGCTGAGTGTGGCCGACAGGCAGAGGTGGATCCAATACTCTGGTACCGACAGGTAACTAACTGTCCGGGGAGGAAATAGAAATTCTGCTTGAGAGTCTTTCTCTCTTCCTCACAAATCAGGGTTTTCCTGATGTAGGGGGTCAACAAGACAGATCAGCAGGAGGAATCTGTAATTGTAGGGATTCTTTACTTTTTAAATCATTTTAATGATTTTTAAAAAGCGTTTTTACATCAGTAAAAGGTGTGTTTCCCATTTAGCAAGAGAGGCCCAGGTAAGATAGCTTGATTTGTGTAGGGTGACTTGAGACTGCACTAGCAGAGCCAGAGCTAGAAACCCCCCAGTCCAGTGTTGCTCGCGCTCTTTGGTTCCTATGGAATGAGTTAATGGTGAGCTCGCCATTTTTTAGAGTAGGCCAAAAGTACACTACTCAGACTGAGTTACTTGCCAAAAGATTTTGTAGGTAGAGCTAGAACTAAGAACTTGGTCTAACATCTTGCTCTGCTCAAGAGACTTAGAAAGTCTTCCCTTCCCTCTTAGTCACAGTTAGACCTTCTACCCCTAAACTTGCTCTGCAGAAGTGAAGCCACCGTAACATCCTTGGAAAGGGAGCAGCATCTTCTATTCAAGGAGCCATTTCCCAAGAATGCTTATTCTCTCCTAGGGAAGACCCCCTGGCGGACTTCCCTTTTCTTGCCGCCCATCCTGTTTCCTTGTAGGCAGGGAGGGGATGGGCTTTTTTAGCAGGGGGACCAGAGTTCATCATAAACAAAGGTCAGTAGAAGCCACTGATCATGCTCTGTCCCAGGTGTCTGGTACAATCTGCTCTGGTGTTTCTCCTGGCACCTTGGACTTGAAATTTCTCTCATCTGCACAACACTGATTGCTCATTCTACGATTGTTGTAGGAAGCAGAGCCACGGATGTGGACATATGTTTACCCTGCCAAGTACTCAGACATCAAGTCAGAAGATGAGCGGTGGAAAGAGGAACGGGACCGCAAATTGAAGGAGGAAAGGACTCGGAGTAAGGACTCTATCCCCAAGGAGGACGGGAAGGAGAGCACAAGTAGTGACTGCAAGCTGCCCACGTCTGAGGAATCCCGCCTTGGGAGCAAGGAGCCCCGACCAAGTGTCCATGTGCCTGTGTCCTCCCCCCTCACCCAGCACCAGTCCTACATCCCCTACATGCACGGCTACTCCTACAGCCAGTCCTATGACCCCAACCACCCCAGCTACCGGGGCATGCCTGCTGTGATGATGCAGAACTACCCAGGTACAGCACCTCCTTCCCCCGGTGTGGCATTGACCGGGAAGAGAAATGAGGCAGAGATTTCAAAACCAGAGTTTGCTTGCTCCTCCCTAAGGCTTATGGAGGCTCAGGTAGTTGACAGCCCTTTTTTGCATGTGACATTCTATGAAGTGGCCACTCTCACACCCCATGCTCCTTGAATGACCCCTAATTACAGTCTGTGGGACCACCTCTGCCTCCCTGTCTCCAGCTAGAGGGTTGCCTCTGCACTCACTTTTCCTGGATAACTAAAGATAAAACTCCCTCTCTGCCGGGATTTTTTAAACATATATTCTACATTTTTCAGTGTGCTTCACACATTGGGGAATACAAAAGAAAGAGGGAAGACTAGTTCCCTCCCCTCAAGGAGCTTACAACTTAATTATAGCAGGAGAGACACATGGAACAAACAACATTCAAACCAGGACAATGCATGTGTTCATTTGCAAGACCATGTATGGTTGGAAGGCATTCAGATTGGGGAAAAGCAGGTTGAAGTCAGATTGGGGGAAAGTCCAGCTACAAAAAGTTCAGCTTAGGAAAGATAGGCTCTTTACACTGCCATCCATGAGTTCTTGGGGAGAGGGGCACAGAGTAGGAGTTTTGTGCTTCTTTTTTTTTTTTTTTTTTTAAAGATTTTTATTGGGGGAATTGGGGGAATGGGAACAGTGCTGGGGAATTGGGGAAGGGGAACAGACAAGTTGCTGTCATTTTTGTTCTTCAATCTAGTTGTGGAGGATGTTGCTTCACTGGCCCAAGTTGGCACCATCATTGCGCTCTTCTCTGGCGAGGCAGATCAGTCGCCGGCTTCTGGACGGCCGCTCACTGCGGCTGCTGGCCGCTCACGCTGGCTGCTGGCTACATACGGTAGCCCATGGCAACCCACTGCCACAGGGACTGCAGCCTACGCCGTCGCCGGCGACTCATGGCAGCCCAGCTCCAGGTTGAGCTGTTGTTCAGCATCTTAGCTGTGGAGGGCAGTGTCACTGGCCGTTAGAAGAAAATGCTCTTATTCAACTCTACTCCCTGATTTCCATTGCCTGAGGAGCCATTGTGGGGTACTTGTGGATAAAAGAGAACTTTCACTCCTTAAAGCGCCCACCGCCCTACAGGAGAGCAGCCTCAATAGTCTTGAAATTCTGTCGTAACATTATAATGCATAGTCTAAATAGGACAAGTAAGCTTTTCAGACAGATAGAAAATCCTCACACTGTGGTATTTCTTTCTCCTGTTACCCCTAATTCATCTGTATAAAAATAATAGTTCCATTTGATGAGTGCTTGCTCTGCGCCAGGCACTGTATTAGATGATTTATATACATTGTCTTAATCCTCCCCATCATCCTATGAAATAAGTATTGATATCTTCTTTTGATGGTGAAGAAACTAAAACTCAAAAAGATTGTTAATTTGCCCAAGACTGCCCAACCAGTAAGTCTCAGAGGTAGGATTTGAGCCCAAGGCTATCTGCCTCCAAATCCTGTGATGTCTCCACTTTATCATATCATCTGTCCAAGATGAATCTCTCAGACTGGGGCTCTAGGGAAGTTGATTCCCCAGAAACTGAGGGCCATGTTCCTAATGTCCCTGAGCTAGTTTGGCTCTAGAGCTCAGTAAAGAAAGGACAGACTAACGGCCTCAGCCCAAAGACCCCATGGTAGAAAATCTCTCAGCCTGTGCCTAGGGAAGCAGATGCCGCCTAGCCAAGCTCACTAAAGCAGAGTTCCTCTACCTCCCCCATCTCCTTGACTGCTTTATTTCTCCCTCCCCAGGTTCCTACCTGCCTTCCAGCTACTCTTTCTCCCCCTATGGCAGCAAGGTCTCAGGGGGTGAAGATGCCGACAAGGCCCGAGCCAGCCCCAGTGTCAGTTGTAAGTCCAGCTCCGAGTCCAAAGCCCTGGACATCTTGCAGCAGCATGCCAGTCACTACAAGAGCAAGTCTCCCACGGTAAGGGAATTGCAGTGATGCTGACTATTATCACAGCCCAAGAGGGCTGATGTCAGGGCAGGGAGAAGGTGGGTGAGCTCAGGCCCTAACCAGTGCAGTTTGGCTGATGTGACATTGGCCCCTCCAGGTACCAGGGGATTCTTAGGTGCCCTGTGTGCTGAAGGAGTCACGATGTGGGCTCGGGGCATCCTACTCTCGTGTGTGTCTCATACCAGTGCTTTTGTGTCTGCTTTCCTTTCCAGATAAGTGATAAAACTTCTCAGGAGAGAGAGCGGGGAGGCTGTGGGGTGGTTGGGGGTGGTGGCAGCTGCGGTGGCGCTGGGGGAGCAGGAAGCGGAGACAGGAGCGTAGACCGGCCCCGCACGTCCCCCTCCCAGCGCCTCATGTCCACACACCACCACCACCACCACCTGGGCTACTCACTGCTCCCAGCACAGTACAACCTACCCTATGCAGCAGGTAAGCCTGTCTTAACTCCACCCCAGTAGCATCGCCCCCCGCCCATCCCTGGCAAGATTTTTTTTTTTCTTAAGTTTCTAATCTGTCAGAATCCTAGCCTCCTGCAGACCGTCATTAAAGCATATGACATTTATTTCCTCCCTTGGAGCTTGGGGACTGACAAACTCTAGAAAATTGGCTTTGATATTCAGAAGAATAAGGAACAGGTGTTCCCACAGGCCAAGAGAAACAAGCAGCTGAGAAAATGGAGCTTCACTGTCTATCCCCAGCAACTATATCTGGCCAAATACCAGATGTTTTTTCTGTCAGCACCCCAAAACTAAGTGGAGCTAGGTATTCTCGGAGAAACTCCTCCCAATACCCGACCCAGCTGGTAAAGAGAAAGTGCTTGTATCGGAGGGTTCTGGGAGAGCTGTGCTAACATGTCCTCCTCCTCACTCAGGGCTTTCTTCTACAGCCATTGTTGCCAGCCAGCAAGGCTCAACTCCCTCACTCTACCCACCCCCCCGGAGGTGAGAATGGTAAGTAGCTTTTTAATTTTGTGCAACACATAGGGCAGGGATAGTTGATACGTGGATCACAAAATCCTTGGGGAGCCTAGGTGAGGGATAACTGTGTGGGGTCAGCAGTCTGGAAACGGTGAAATGCTGGCCCAGCCTCTTGTACAAGCCTTCCATGAAGCCACGTGCTCAGCAGATACAGGCCCCTAGGGAGACCGTGACTGGCCTCCCCTGCTGTTCATTTTCTTGGAGCGCCACCTTGTGGTTGTTATGGCAGCCGGCTGAGTGCCTGGTTACCTGTCCGTGTTTCCCTTGCAGAACACCAAGTGCCCGGATAACGTCAGCTTCACGGGCCCGGACTGGCTCACCCAAGGAGGTGCTGGAGGTGGCATTTAGACATCAGTTAAATGGTGTTGATCATCCTGTTTGCCGTGTTCCCACCATGACCGAAGGCAGACCCTTGGCTATCTCGCCTCCACCAGACCCCTGGACTCCCCGACCCTCCCACTTCCTCAGGAGCTGGAGAGCTGGTACTTAGCAAAAATATTTATTCTCTTGGCCACGGTTGTGACTGTTGTGGCCTCTGTGGAGATGAAGGCCCAGGGAGCAACCAAAGGGACGTGGCCTCAGCCCAGAGAAGTCACTGCTCTGTTCCCCAAGCCCCTGGTCAGCTGCCGGAGAAGTACCAACCCCTACCCGCGCCCCCTTTTCCAGGGAGGGACCCCCAAGCACTGGGTAAGGTCTGAAGACAGCACAACAGCCATACCCCTCTCCCCGTCATTACCACCATCACCAGATCCTGCATCTCCCCAGTGGTTTGGGCCCTGGGAACTGACAGCACGTGGAGGAATTAGAATCTCAGGAAAGAAATTGGGGGCGGTTTTCTCTGTAATTGTGAAAACAAGGTCTTCAGACATGAAGACACCTCCCCTCTCACATGAGCACATATAAATGCTCGGAGCCCAGCCTGGAGAGCAAGACCCAGGTGTTTGCCCACCGTGGCCTTGGGCTACCCGTCAGGCAGAGGGCCAGGAGTCCCCACACTAGTACAGGGCTCCCCAGGGATACTGGGAGTAAGCTGGAGCTGGAGCATGAATGGAGCCTGTGAACAGAGCCTTCATTCCCACTAAGTCCTGCTGCTTCTTAGCCCCAACCCCTTGCCCTTTTCTCTCTCTCCTCCTCACCCCTCGGTGCCTTTCCCAGGGGAGTCCCCATGCTGATCTCGCCTCTTCTTTTCCACTGCTTGGCTCTTAAGACTCAGGCAGGTAAAATAGTATTCCCCAGCATCAGGAGCTTCCAAGCCTGCCAGGTCAGCTGAGGCCCAGGCCCAGGCTCAGGAAGCAGGCACACCCAGCAGTTCTTAGAGATGTCCTGTCCATTCAGCCATCTGTATCCTCCTCATTTAGGGCCACAAATATATACAGCCTAGTTCTTCTGTATACAAGTACATGATTTTACATAGCTCGATCTAGAACCCCGTGTGTGCCAATACAAGCCGTTTTGTTTTAGGGGCCACTGACCATGGCAGATTATGTGTTCCTTAGGCCCTGGGATGACACCTCCACGCCATTACTCCCCGGAGCCACAGTGTGTACTCAGTGGAGCTGGGCTCTGAGGAGGCAGACATTTCTCTGCTCTCCTTAGAAATGCAGTCTCCCAGTCCAGGCTCTGTGCTCTTTGTACTGGGAAAGGGCCGATGATTCGGTAGGTTTATTGGAGACACTTCTTTCCCACGGTGTGGGGAGCTTTAGCTCTTACTTTGCTTTTGAGTTATCATCCCTTTGTTCCCCTCTCCTATCTTTCCTTGACCTTATAGATTGAGAGAGACTGACAGATAACCAGCCGAGGCTAGAGAGGGACATTTGTGACCAGAGTGCCAAAAGTGACCAGGACTTGGCTCTGATAGTGTGGGGCGTGGAGTTGGAGAGCAGCAAGCACAATATCCCACAGAGGCTGCTTTCCCACACCCCCAGAACCCTGCTCTAGAGGCTCAGGGTCATTTGCCCAAGAGGCACCCCTCTGACCTATAGACCTTTCCTTTAGTTTCATGTTCTTGTTTTTGCTCAAGTTGGGTTTTGAGCCCATCCAAAAAACTCAGTTGTAGACCTCTTAGCAGGCCCCAAGCAGCCTCCCTCCCCCCATCATTCCCTCTGCCTCCTGCTGCCACAACAGGCAGTGCTCTGAGCAGTGACTTCTCTTTCATCCATGGAAATAGTTGGTGTGGACACCTTTACCCCACCTAACCTGAGTCACCCCCACCAAGAGGATGACTCTAAATTTCAGCCTGATGATACCCTCCCAGACTCTTGTGGGGTGAAGCCAAGGACCCATCTCTGTTCCTGTTCGTTTTTAAATATTGTTGTGAGTTTTGTATCTGTGGCGCTGACTTACAGCGTGTTCTGTACATATTGTAAAGAAACCGTTTGAAGTAACTCTTTCCCACTGGGCAGGCCTGGCTACACATTCCTGCCCTTTCCACTTTTTTCTGTAACAGAGAAGAGGACTTCCGTATTAGCAGGGCAGCCTTGGGTTCTGCAGAAGGGAACAGCTTCTTTTCTTTTTTTTCCTTATAAAACATTTGGCTCTTAGACCCTTATATTCAAGTCTCCCTTGAATAGTAGGTGCTGAGCTGCCCAGAAGAGCAGGTGAAAGTGACAATAGCAGACTGGCCCTCCCTTTTCCTGATCCCTGATCCTCCTGGTCTCAGATCCTTGCCAGGTCCAGTCTTCCCTCCCTGAAATAGCACGAAGCAGCAGCGATGGAAGAAACATGTCCTTGATGAGTGCTGGAGTGAAGGATTTGCTGTCCACCTCCAGCCTCTCTGCATTGGGAGGGGCACAGGTGGGGGTACCTGTGGCACTCATGACCAAGTCAGAGGGATGAGACACAACAGCAAGGATTTCCACCCCACAAGCAAAAGCTGGACAAGTTTGCTGCTATGGGCCCAGCCTACCAGACCACGGCTCTCCCTGAGCCAGCCTGCCCAAACCTCTTGCTAGACATCATTCGACAGGCACCCCGCAGAGAAGCTAGAGGGAGAGAGCCTCGCCCCCAGGTAGGACAGCCACGGCTTGGAGAACTGCTCTCCAGGATTCACACCCATTTCTTCCTCATTTAAGGTTTGTCAGTTCCCTTTTCCCTACCTATACATGTATGTGTACATGTATGAAATTCCCTTCTCTTACCTCACCCTCTCCACACATCTCAAGGTCAAAGGACCACATGCAGAAGGGTTAAGGACCTCATGAAATGAAACGGTGATTCTTGAATCTCTTCTCTCCAGGCTCCAAGGTGGGGATGGGAGAACTTGGCCTCAGGTGTGGGAGGATAAGACTGCAGAAGGCCTAAGAGTTATTGTGTATGGGCTTTAAGGTCACCCATGTCACTAATTAGCCCATCTACCCTGTCATCATCGCAGTGTCTACTCTGATGCCCCTAAGATTCAACTGGGCAGCTAGTTGGCCCTGTAATTCTGGGCCTTTGTTATTTGTTTTGTTCCTAGGGCATCCCAGGAAGCTTTCTGGTGATGCTCTGCCGTGGGGCCCTCCTGGGATTGAGCCCCTCCCTAGCCCCGTCCCAGCCCCTCCTGCCCCAGCCCACCCGCTTGCCTTGGTGCTCAGCCCCCCACAGGGAGCAGGTTGGGGCGAGCTGGAGGCCCGGGCTGGAGGGGCAGTGTTGCTGTTCATAGCTTTTGTTCCATTGGCGTTGCTCTGTTGGATTTAATTTCAGTCTTCCTGATTCTTCCCTTCTGTAAAGTGTACATTACCAAGTTCCTTGTTTTTTTATATATATATATAAATATACATATATATATATATATATATATATATATACAAACTGTACTCTTTTTGCCTTTGTACATTCAGGCAAGAAGAGAAAATAAATCTTTTTAAGAGACAATCACAAATCTGTGAGGGCTGCTGGTTATTTCTCCCGGAGTTTGCTGCTGAGCTGCTTCCTCCTTCCTCCTCACCTTTCCGTCCTCCTTCAGCTTTTCTGATCTTCCCGGTCCTGGTCCTGCTCCTCACGCATCCTCAGCTCCACCTTCCCTGGCTGATGGCAAGCTGTTAAACCCAGTGTCCAGACTACCTGCCCTGCAGCCCTTTCCTGCCCAGCAGTTTCCCAGCTTCGCCACTGGCTTACCCAGGAGCTTTATCCTGTGCCCTGGCCTCTGCTGTCTTGCCCCTTAGATCCCATTCACCGAAGTGGCTTTGGACCCCTGGGTACTCTGGGACCTCCCAGAGACCCTGGCTTTGGACACTCACCTGTGAACCTATGCAGCTGGGAGCTCTCTGCCTAAGAGTTTGCACTGCTTCAACCTGCCTGGGAGTTAAAACCGATGGTTTTGATGGGTTTTTTTAAGAATGAGTGGGAAACTCCCCTGGACACTCTCCCAGATTCCAGCCTTCAGAGTGCTCTGATCCAGAGCCGAGAATCATTCCTGGCCGGTGGGCTTCTGTGGCCACCACATCAGAATAAGTGCTAAGGGTTTACGGGTCAGAGCATTTGATAGAATTTCAAAGGGTGGTACATTGTGGAACAGTCCAACCAAACAATTGTTCCACCTCTTGAACTTGCTCCGTTCCCTGATTTCCTCTCCCCTCCACCCCCCCCCCTACCTTTTCCCCCTTTCTCTCTACTTTTCTTAATTGGCTTTGGATTGAAGTATATTTTTTAAATTATTTGTTGTATTTATTGAATAAAGTTTTTAATGTCCCTGTTCTTAAATTTAGACTTAGTTTGCCTTTCACATCTTCCCTCCCACTCCATCATCCCCTCAAAATATTCCACCTTCTAAGTTGCTTTTTTAATTGGAGTGCAGGTTTGGGGTGCCATATTTCTTTCCTGTAAACGGTATTACCTAGCAAAGTTTTTTTCTGTTTGAAAGGGGAATCTTAACTGAGTGCCTGGGTTTCCAATTCAGCCGTCTAACTCTGGCTGTATTAAAGAGGATCCACCAGCAGAGGGCAACAGACTCTCAGGCATGTTTCCTGTCTGCTAGCTTTGGGGATGATAAAGGACTGAGTTTGGTCTTGGTTCTTTACCCATCTTGTAGATTCCTTGGCCACTGTCAGCATTCACATGGAGCTGCTGTAAATCTCACTGTAGTGACTTTTTTTTTTCCAGTCACTGCCTTTATGCTGCCTCTAGGGGTTACCTGCTCAGTGGAGGACATCTTCAAGCCTTTCTTTCAGTTGAATGTCTCTAAGTCCAGACCTTCTACTAATACTGTGGAGGGGGGAAGGTGCTGAGCTCACTTCTTTTAAAGAAGACCAGGTGGGGGTCCAAGGTTAAAGACTTGGCCCAGTGTGAAAACACAAGCAAGCTTCACACAGAACAGTGTGCAAATGGTCTAAAGATTCAGAGAAAGTAAAGACAGCCACAGCTCAGCAGCAGATTGCTCCAAAGCTGTAGGAGGTAGAATAGTCCCAGCACTTCACTTGGGAAAACAAGCAAAAGAAAAGAAATGGTAGTCAGCCATTGAGAAATTTTAAAAAACAGAACATAGATCGAGTGTATCTAGCCCCCTCCAGTGGCACTGAGGGCTTATTTATCAGACTGGTGGTGCAAGGGGAATGGCAGCCATGGCTCAGGGCACTTGGCCCCAAAAGGAGAAAACTATCTTCCTAGGAAAGTGTATGATGCTTCCTTCAGACGCCTCCGAGAATGGAAATGTCAGCTCCATGCAAAAGCCAAAACCTGATGTCAGGACCCAGCCTTCTGTACAAAAGGAAGAACTAAGAACGCTTAGCTCTTGGTAAGTATAACCGCTCTTCTGGATGAAGCTGCTGTGTACACATCTGTCTCTCTAGGGGGCTCTGGCAGTGTGTCCCAGGCTCCTAGCAACCCCACATTTTGCAATGTAATGTGGTCCCCAGAGACCTCAGCCAGTTTATCTGTCCTAATGCACCACAGCTTTTTTGCTGAGAGACATGTATCACACCCCTACTAAGTTAGGCTCTAGACTCAAAAGACAGTAGTGGCAGGAAGCTAAACCCAGAGTACAGGAATAAAGAGCAAACCAACCACAACTTTAAATCAGTTTATTGACACAGTAACACAACACACTTGCCTCCCTAACACCCCCACCCCCTCACCCAATCTAGATCTCTCCCCCCCTTGGAACAAGCTGTTCCTTGAAACAGAAAAGGGCAGGCCACTTGTACAGCCCCAGTCCCACCCCTAGGCCCTGTGGAGCAGGGTCTCAGGCACTACTCAGACCTGTTAGCGGGGTGGGGTGGGGGTGTGCGGTGAGCACTACACTCAGCCAGGCAGAGGCAGCCAGATCGTCCACAACCCCCAGGCCCTGAGTCGCTATTCTTCCTCTCTGCTCTTCGTGACCCTAGGAAGGAGACAAATCCAGGGCCTGGGCCTACAGCCAGGAGCAAGAACTCCTGCTGTGATCTGAGAATTCGAGTTTGGCTAGTGTTTTTTTAAGGCCCAGGTACCCCAAAAAAAAAGCCCTGGTGGAAGGAGTGAACTTCAATGCCCCTATTAAAAATGCACTGATAACATGAAACAGATTAAGCCAGCTTAACCAAATGCCAGAATAACACTAAGCTGTAAAGGAGGGATCAGACCTGCTTTCTCCAGGCCAGATTCAAATGCACACAGAAAAGCCCAGTGTCAAAAAACACAAGGACACTGCCCCGGGGCTGAAAAGCCTATACTCAGGAGCCCCTGGGTGACAGGAAGCAAGGAAAGAAAATACACAAGTTTTAAAAACCAAAAAAGAAAGCCCAACAGCTGGGGAACCTGAGCCTGACAGTGCTGCCCACCAACCCTCCAGGCCTTGCCCCCAGACCCAGACAGTCCCTCCCCCTCTAGGCAATGTCCTCCCCTAGGCTAGATAGAGCACATCACACAGCGCAGTTTAAAAAGCTTCTAATGCCAGTTCATAAACATCTTCATTTACTATTGGTGATTACATGTGAATAATATGTTTATACTGTTCTTTATGGAAAACAATTTCAACGAGTCAACTCCAAGAACACAATAGGCAACCCTCACCCTGAGCCCCTCGCCGTCCTTCCCCGGACAGCAAGGAGCCCCCTCCTCTGTCCCAGGGCTGCCTGACTTCCCCTCGTTCCCGTTCCCCACTGTGGCTCTTGGGCAAAGCATCCTCTATGACCATTAGTCCTCATCGGACAAGTTCTGGTCCAGGGGGTAAACCATGAACATCACATCTGGCCGAGAGGGGACACAGGGATGGCCTGGACGCACAATCTCAAAGCCCAAGAAGCTGAAGGTCTTCAGGAGCGGAGCTGCAGAAGATAAGGGTATAAAAAGGATTTTGATAAGAAATACAAGAAGAAGAGGCTCAAATCAAGGAAAAAACCCAAACGAAAATGGGATAAATAAGCACTAGGCCTTCTCTAAAGACCCTTCAGACACTCCCCCCATGATTGCCCAGGTTTGTACGGCAAACTAAAGGGCCCCACCTCATATATCAGAGCCCCCTTTTCCCCTCCCCAGTCCCCCATTTTCTGGGAAGAAGGTCTTCGATTGCTTTGACTCCTCACCTCTGTCTTCCCGGCCCTTCCTGAAGCATATGAAGACGTAGTTCACTTTCATCTTCTCTTCAGCAAACTCTAGCAGTGCTAACAATCTGCAAGAAGCAAAGAAAACTCAGGCCCACTACCACCTCTCTAGCCTTCCCAACCACCCACCCCAAAAAGGCTTATAGAGAAACTTCAAGGAGGAGGTTCTTATTTCAAGACCCCAGGAGCCCTACATTCCGAAAAAAAATAAGCCACAACCTCTTCAGAAAAATGTTACTGAATTATCTCTTCCTAGAATAGGGGTTCTTCCTCTGAAACTAACCAACTTAAGTAATGCAGTTCATAAGACAGTATGGGACCTAGGGGAAAAAAACAGTTTTTCAAGGGCTTTCCAAAGGTGCCAAGTTTGATAATGATCACCTGCCACTGAGAGACTCTGGGCCCTCACACTGCAGAAAAGGATTTCCTCAAGAGGTGGAAGTCACTCAAGAGAACGCCATCCTCAGGACTGTTTCTCACACACCTGGCTGCTTGGAGGGTCTGACCCAATCCAATGAAATCCCACCGGATCTCTGAGCTTCCTGGCCTTTTAAACTGCACCACTGTATGGTGGCTCAAGGAGGATTTAATGTCTGCTGGGAAGAGTGAACTATGGGCGATTAATGACAGGGATTTGGTTAATGTGATAATGATCTGCTTTAATTATAACCCAGAGCAGGCCTGTTTTACTGGCTAAAAATAACCTGCCTGTTACAAAAGGGTATCTGCTTGGGAGGCCTAGAGCTAAGGGAGAAGGCAGACCCTCTACTCCTCTGTTCTCCCCAGTAAGCACATGCCACTCTCTGGAATGGGACCCCCTTCCCCATTTGCTCCGCCCCCTCTCCCAGTCCTTGCTCCTTACCCTTCTTTGCTCCCATCAGCTAATAATCCATCTGGGATTTCTACAAACAGGCTCTGGCTGGACAGGACTGCATCCCAGGAAGAGACCTTCACCTCGGTGACCTCATACTGGAAGTGGACGATGTGAGGTTTTCCATCGTTCACAGGGAGGTCCTGGGTCACAGTGAGCTTCTCGTCCTGGGAAGAGATCAGGTCAGGGGACATGTCACTACCGCTTCTGGCCACATCTAGGCTCCCTAACCTAGGTGTACTGCAAGTCCCCTTAGGCCAGTCTCAGGGTAGCATGGGACAAAGGGCACGCTGAAAATGTAGAGCTGTATGCTGGTTTCATGGAGCCGTCATTCATCAGGTACTAAGACAGGTGATGTCGGCTAAAAGCCAGTGTGGTGGAAAGCGAAACATTTACCACACGTCCACTAGATGCCAAGTACTGTGCAAGGTGCTTTCCTATATTTCAATCACCACAATAAGCACTTGAGGTAGGCATTAATATCCCCATTTGAAATCAGATATTAGGGGCTCTGAACAATTAAGCAACTGACCCAAGGCTCCAGCTAGTAAACGGCAGGCTTGAGATTCAAACCAGGCCTCCCTAACTCAAAGCCCATGCTTGCCTCCCACCCCCCTCAACACCACACTCTTTCCCTTTCCCCTCTGAAAGAGAAATATTAGAAATAAATGAGGATATACGTGAGGGCTTGGCTGGGGGCCAGCCTGCTTCCAGGCAGACCACAGGATCCATGTTGTGTCCCCTGGCCACAGTCTCAAGAGACCAGACCTCAGCCACCCTTCTACCTTTCAATGCCATTCTTAGGGAGAAGCTAATCCAATTTCTGGGCCTCAATCACAGGAGAGTAAAAGCCAGCAAAGGGCTGGCTGCCCCAGCCCAGACCGTTCCAGGGCAGTCCCAGGGTTTTCTAACGCCCCTGGGCCGTGCCCTATGCTGCCAGGATAATAGGAGATTGAGATGCAAGGCTCTCTCTCCTTACCCGCCCCCTTCCCAATCAGACTGGACTGAAGCCAGAATGCCAAGGGGTGAGGACGATGGGAAAATTCCTCCCGGCCCTTGGTATTTCTCAAGAGAAACTAAGGAAGGGGTAGTTCCAGAAAGAGCTCTCCCACACCCCGACTCTTCCTCCCACTCTGGACCCTGAACCAGCACTAAAATGCTGACCACCAAGCTAAGAAGATGGCAGGGTGTCCTGCTTGGTGCCGATATCCTCCTAGTACTCCCCAAAAGCCACAGAGCAGCCTCAGTTAAGAGTCCTTCCCAATCCCCCTCTTGGCCTGGCCTGAGTCAGAAGACAGGAAAGTATTTACTGCCCT